TTAGCCACAGTTCTCTTGCATTTAGCTTATAGCTACAGTTCTGCTACATTTAGCTTTTAGCCACAGTTCTGTTGGGTTTAGCTTATAGCTACAGTTCTGCTACTTTTAGCTACAGTTCTGTTGCATTTAGCTTATCATTACAGTTCTGCTACTTTTAGCTTTTAGCGTCAGTTCTGCTCTTTTAGCTTTTATTTACACTTTTGCTACTTTTAGCTACAGTTCAGTTGCATTTAGCTTATAACTACAGTTCTGCTACTTTTAGCTTTTAGCTACCGTTCTGCTACCGTTAGCTGTTAATTACTGTCCTACTACTGTTGGTCACTAGCTAACAAATTTTCTTCCACTTTTTTAGCTTGTAGCTTTGAGCTACAGTTTTAAAACTTTTAGCTTGTACCTTGCTGTTCTCTATTTTAACCGATATTGTGCTACTTTTACGTACCGTTATATGGACTCTCTTCACTTGTATAATGCCTTATGTATAAACTAATAACGTACGGACAAACCGATAGATTGTAGCCCAAGGGTAGTTTCCATCTTATGTTCAAATACTGTGTATTTTTATTTACCTTTGGAGTCATCCCAATTCAAGATGGCCACCACAAGTAATCAACCTTAGCCAACACCAAGATTGCTTTAATGCAGTAAATGTTACAAAAAGTGAGTTAAAATTTAATGTGGTAGTAGCTGAAAGTCGTTCCTAACACACATTTCAAGTGCAAACAAGTCACATGAAATCTTGGTTTAAGAACACTGTGGTGGTTTCTTGTTTCTGAAAGTTTAATAAACCTTGACACATAAACAATCTTTATGATGTGTTTTTCTCTTTCTGTATTTTTGTCCCCCGTTGTGGTACGAAAAGGGGACATTTGAAATGCCATCCGTCCATCTGTACATGTTGTGAGAGCGATAACTTGGAAAAATAAACAAGGTACCAGCTTCCATTCTGGTGTGTGGCTACATTTAGGTATAAGAAAGTTTTCTTTCGAAAATTGGGTTTCCGCCACAAAATTCAAGATGGCTACCGCCATGAATGTTCATATGTAACCCCTGTGAACTGTAAATCTTGTAAAATAAGCAGCATGCCAACTTCCATTTAGATGTGTGGCTGCGTCTAGGCCCAAGACAGGGGAATGATCGGGGTTGCCGAAGATTAATTTATGGTGGCCAAGGCCACCATTGGCCACCCCCTGGTTCCGCCATTGCGCCTGGTCGTGAATGAAATTGCTCCCTCGACTCACCAGGATCTGTCACTCTGCGCTGCCCTGGACAAGCCAAAAAATAATAAATAAATAAATAAATCATCCTCTATTCTTCTGCACAGTGGTACTTATACCCACTTGAGTATCTTGCACCAAAAACATTTAGGTTTACATACGTCCCGGGTTCAATTCCAGTCCAGAAAAAACAGCCATGCTGTATTTGTGTGTACATCTGCATACAACTCGTTTATGTTGTAATATAAAGTAAAGTCAATAATTATCGTTTGTGTTGTATCACACAAACACAACCTAAACAGACTGTTAGCCCCGATTCCCACTGCCTTCTACAGCTGAGAGTGGTTCTTGTCCCACGCTCCTGGTGACCCGACAATACCACTTAGTCATAGACACAAGTCTACACACACACACATATATATATATAAATCAACAGTTACTGTAGCTTCAAGCATAGAGAAGTCCAAACACATGTCCACACAAGTGGTGAACAGCTTTGGACACGATCGTATAATTGTTCTCAAACCCACGACGCTCCCTTCGGTTTGTGTAAATGTGTAAACGCTCCCTCAGCCTCAGAATGAGGAGTCCCAACGCAAACACACGGGGATGGACACATTCACCAGTTTATCAGAGAGTTGGGAAATAAACACAAGAACAAACACTTACTCACACGGGCATAAATCTGCTGACCCGAAGGACGGACCAGCGTTTCCTGTGTGAGCGCACTGTGGGTAAAAACAACAAAAAAAAAGCACATGGGAACAACGCTCAGCTTCCTGAAGATGAAAATGTTTTAAGTGGCTGTGTTCCTTTTATAAAATGCCTCCCCAGTGAACTGGTTTGCAAAAACCTGACAAGTAGCAGATTTTTACTGTCATAACATTTTGTTTTGTGTGCTGTCCTTTTGTTGGGGTAATTATTCGGACCCCTGGCCTGGCGCCCACGCAGTGCAACTTTTAAACAGAGTGAAGAGTTTTAATGGACGCCACCCTCCGAGGCTGCTGCTGCTCCCACTCAGTCTGCGGCTCTGCCAGGAAAAGAGAAACTGGAGCCGCCTGATCAGACTTCCAGTTCTGAATCAGATTAATTCACTTTGTTACTCCGCATTGTTTGAGGAATACCGTTTGTTCCAGAACATTTACACGGATCATCCATAAATGTAATACATTTAGGTTTCGGGTTTAGTTAGGCCTGTTGCAATAATCAATAAATCGATTAATCGCACGATGAATGAAAATTATCGACCTCGTTTTCATTTATTGGATTTATCGTTTCTTCGTGTCTCTCTTTCTACTGAAGACACTGGACGACAAAAGGCTCAACTCCGGTGCTCTTCACTGACCCCGCCCTTTCTCTTTTCTCTTTAAAATCTGTTTGAACCGTACAAAATCACATTTTTGGATCGTTAAAAGCAGCTAAGCTGAGAAGCTAAGCTACGAGCTAAGCTAACAGGCCGACCTCGGGAAAACCCTCCGTCTTGTCGAAGCTCAAAAATTCACGGTTTAAACCTTCGTGTGAAAAGTTGTTTTTCTCTGCAAAAAGAAGCTGAGAACTTGTTTACTGATATTTTTATTAAAAGCTTTGTGTGACAAATGTTAAAGAGCCCACACTGAGCGTGCGCCATTTTGAGAAACATAAACAAGGAAGGAGAGACAGCCCATGTCACGTCAAGGGGCCTCCCTCCCATTTTCTTAGAGACATGCTGCTCGCTCCCTCACTATCCATCCTTCGGTTCAAACAGTCTTATACTACCATCCAGTGGTCAAAAAAAGGTACTACACACAAAACAAATTAAACAATTCGACATTAATTATTAATTATTGTCAAATTTCAAACAATATTATCGTTTATCGCAATAATTTCTGAGATAATCGCCCAGCAAAATTTGTTATCGTGACAGGCCTAGGTCTGATCGCCTGCACCGACAGGTTGTACCTGTTTTCATGTGTTTCTTTATAACTTCATTTTAGGCCAGCTGTTATTTGACTCCAAATGTCCAGAGTTCTTTCTTTGACGCTTCGTGTTTGATTCCCCAGATATGCCCCTCCATGTCCGGCGCAGCAGCGACCCCGCCCTCATCACCGTCAACGGGCCGTTTGGTGGAGCTGAGCCCCGGGTCCAAACGGATGAAACGCCGTCCAGGATGAACCCGACCCGATGGTCCACCACCGCCGGCTTCCTGAAGGCTCGGCATTCCTCCGGCACAAACAGCCTGGAGAGGAAGGTAAAAGGCAGAGGGAAGGGTTTGTCGGTAAAATATTCATTTATTATTCTAATTTTAAATAGTGAAATCTACGCTGCCTTTGTATGGTGAAAAAAAAAATGCATTAAGGTTTCAACAGCTTTATGTGTTTGATTAAAAAAATATAATAGTAAACACTTGCATTAGAAGAGCGTTGAAGCTATTTTTCTAAATGCATCCCTTTGTCCTTGCAGAGTAAAGGCATGGACACGTACCGCAGCCTTCCACGAGACGCAGGGACCTGGACCAATCAGAGGGAGTTTCAGCGAGAGACAGCCAGGTCATCCCTCAGCGCCAATCACCCCATGGTGGACCGCTGGCTGGAGAGACAGGAGCAGGTACGTGGAAATAAACACAAAGTGCAATATCATCTCTGTTTTTACCCAGTTTTGTATTTCCCATGAGCCCAAAGTTCTTTAAAAGCCAACCTGAGCGTCTCGGATCCACTCCTGAGTCCGGCCCGGTGGTTTGAACCCCCTCAACTCCCAGTGTGGAGGTGAAACCGTGAGAAATGTCTCCCATAAACCACCGTGTCACATACGTTACAGGAGAAACTGTGCTAACACAATAAATGCTATAAATTATATACAGTTCATACAGTCGTCTTTAGGTAGAGTTTTAAAATATCTCAGGGTTTGTGATATTTAATTTTTATTCCTGTCTCCCTTTGGAGTCGGGCACTTCAACGTTGTATGCAACACGTCATGACCTGCATGCGGGGCTCAGTTTTTAAAGTTTGCATGAATTATATCGCGATAAACTGGGTAAAAAGTTCTCTTGTTGTTAAAAACGATGCACTTTAATCAGTTTGTTTTCAGGTGGTGGTCTGTAGCATGATGGGTTCCTTGATGTTCCAACAGGCTGTATTTATTCATTTAAACTAATTAGAACATGTTTATTTTCACGGAGTTGTCTTCTTGAAATGGAAACCAACACGTTGAACAAGTCAGACACAAACCAATAACCGTTGGGCTCCGTTTCGTTACCTGTTGAAATTAAAACGTACAGCTCCGTACAGTTTGGGTTCGCTTATGATCGGGTTTAATGAACATTTAAATAAAGGGTCGGAGTGGAGCTGGTTGCCTCTCTTTAGACCCAGCAGAAACATGCGTCCCAACAAGCTTTTAAACCGTTTTAATTCTTCCTATTCCTAAATACGTGTGTTGATTTATTCTTTCAGGCGTGTTTCGTAAAAGGTTAATTGTAGTAACGGCTCACATGATCCGAGTCGTTTTACGCATCAGTCCAACAGGTTGAAAGTCACTGCAGCACCGTTCAGTCAGCGTCCAGGACCTGCTGAAGTCCAGCTGCTCTGGCCAGAGTCAGTCAGACCCTCCCCACCCCCCTGACGGACCTCACAGTGACTCCAGCATATATTTATATCCAACCCTGCATCCTGTTAGTGTGTTGGTGTGTGCGGGGTGGTTATTTATTCCTCTCTGTGTGAAAGTGAGAGGCAGCTTGTTGACTGTACGAGCAGGGCGGACTGTGTTTGTGTGCGAGCGCAGAAATAACTCCGTTTGGCTGAAAGTTTCACGTCTGACGTTCAGCTTCAGGGTGAGGTCCGGTCTTAAAGGTTCTGCTTGCCATCACTGTTTAACGCCTCATCCAGACGGGTTCTGCTTTGTTTCTAGAAGGGTGTTGCAACAGCACTGCATCATGAGACGTCCTGTTTTTATTTAACAAAGAGATGAAGGAAGTGTGGAAAACCAGATGGAAGAGGAACAGCTTTGTCCGTTTGCACAAAGGACTGTTGTTTTGTAGTAATCAAACGTACTCCTCGTCCTCTTCTGTTGTGTATTAACGTGTTTTCCGGCATATCAGCCACAGTTGTTTTGCATATCCTGCAACTTTTATGCCGAAGCAACTTATATACGTTTTTTTTTTTTCCCATATTCATAACACAATTTTTGTAGGGATGCACAATATTATCTGAATATATGTCACCAGATCTTACAGCTGTTGCACAATTTTTGTAGCAAGTAAGCCTAAATAAGAGGACTATGTTCTGACAAAGGAACATTTATATATAAAATACAGGTATCAGCCAAAAATCCAATATTGTGCATCCCTAAATTTTTGACTGACGCTTTAAATTTCGAAGAACTGCAACAACGAGTTCTCCCGTGTGCACTCACTTCACTCAGCAGGTACAGGTGGAGGAACGCTGGAGAGCTAGCGCGCCGGCTGCAATGAATGAATGGATGGATGGATGGATGGTGCTGCCCAGGCGAAATAAAGCTGTTTTGACCATTAAATAAACACATATAAATGCGATTATACGCCGAAACGACTTTTATGCATGATTTTTATTTTTTTGGACTGATGTGACTTATACTCTGGAAAATACGGTCCTACTCAACAGTTCTTATCAGCTTGCAGGTAAAGACACAACCAAAGCTGGTTTGTTTACCGCTGTAATAATAACGTCCCTTTCTAGACCTTTCAATGCAAGGATGATCATATGTTCCTGCTCGTATGGAAGTACTCCTGAAAATAACTGCAATCAGGAGCGATGGTATTCCATAAAGTACTTTTTAAAATTAAAAACAGCTGACAGATGCAGAGAAAGGACTGATGAAACAATAAAGGTATCTGTACTGTATAAATCCTTTATTATTTTAGATAGATTATTAATCCCAGGGGTTAAATTTGAGGCATCCAATAGCATTTGCTAAAAAGTAGAATACAAAAAAAAAAAAAAAAAAGCAGCGTACACAACATTGAAAAAACAAATGTACATACAAAGTAGTAGGGGGTAGTGCATTCATGATGAATCTATATATGCATACATACATACATTCACATTCCTCTGTGGCTTAAAGAGCATCGAGAACCTTTTTTCCCAGTGGAAGACGAAGCCTTTGTTGGAAATATAAAATAGAAACGTGAGGAAAAGAAGAATAGTGTGCAGAGAATAAAAAAATGCACAGATTTAATTAGAACAGAGCAGCTTGGAAGAAGGAGAATTAAACAAAGCAATTTCCTCCAGTTGCTTCCATCTGATCTTCCCAGAATAAAATAACATTGAACATACTGGTTTAAAATGAAGGAAATAATTAGAATAGAGAGTGGTATAATGAAGAAGGCCTATTTTTCTGCGGCTGCACGGAGCGGGGCATAGCTTTGCAGCTGAATTGATCCCGATTAAATTGCATTGAAATGAGTGAATCCATTCTCGGCTCTGAAGTGGGTAATTGTGCGCGCCTGCAGCACAACTGGCAGCTCGCTGACATACAGGAGGGGAAGGGAAAAAAAAAAATCTGTTTGGAGCTGCGTTCTCGAGCTCCTGGAGCCACCAGCGCTCGTTGGCAACAGGTTGGGGGTCGCCATGGCAACAGCGAGCTGTCAGTTGAGGGTATTAATGAAAGGGAGAAGGAGACGAGAGGCCCGGGCTGCTGTGTGTATGTGTGTGTTTTTGTTTATGTTAAGGAGTCATGAGGGCATTTATGCATCTGGAAGTGTGTGTGAAAGATTGTAGCTGTGTGTGTGTGTGTGTGTTTTGTGTCAGCATGTGTCAAAAATCCAAGAAGTCTTCGACTAGATTGCAAATCAACCAATTAAGAGGAAGAGGCAAAAGCCATCGAGTCTCCTGGAGTGTCGGAGAGCTGAAGCTCAACCATCAACACACACACACACACACACACACACACACACACACACACACACACA